TTCTCATCGGATTCACCTAGTTTCCCCCGTCTTGGGGGCAAAAAGTTCCTGCTGGATGCAGTGTTGGGCAACAGATTCTCACTGGATTCACTCCTTAGGGTTTCCGTCTTTAATCAACAGGTTCCTGCTAATTTCACTCCTCAGGGTTTTCGTCATGGGCAACAGATTCTCACTGGGTTCGCTCCTTTCCGTATTGGGGAAAAGGTTCCGGCTAATTTCACTCCTTAGGGCTTTCGTGTTGGGCAACAGATTCCCCAGGCATGGCTTGACGGCTGAGATCAGTGTTCTGCGGACTGTCAAAAAAGTGTTTGCTTAGCTTGCTTGGGGAGGTGGGGCTTTCAGTGAGTCAACAAGGGCACGGGCAGGGGCACGACAAGGGCAGGAACAGACCCGGGCAGGGGCAAGGCAGCCTGATTTTTGCGGTGCAGAAGCGAAGTGCGCGCAGCAAGGGGCGGGAACAGACTCGGGGCAAGGGCACGGCAGATCGATTTTTACGGCGCGGAAGCGACGTGCGAGTGCACGGCCAGGGCCCGAACAGACTCGGGCAGGGGTGCGGCAGCTGTTTATGGTACGGCAGCGACATGCGAGTGCACCTTGGATTTTTTCCGGATTTTTTCCGAATGTATCTTGAACGCAAAACGCGAGTGTACCTTCGATAGACCGCCCAGGCGAGACCGCAGAATCGCACATGATGGGCATGAGTGCTATGACCGTACGAAATGCCACTTGCTGCAACTGCGAGTATGGCCGCCAGCTGTCAATGTTTGATCCAAATGTGAAGCACAACTTTGTATTGCTACGGTGGCCATAGCCAAGCTCACGGCCCCAGCTGTAGCAGCAACCGTAGCCGTCTGCGCAATGCCAACTTGTCTGCATTGCTTCGGGTGCAAGCGTCGCATACAGCAGGGGTCACTCGGAATGGCGAAGAGACGGGCTATATGGCAGGCCGTCGTGGAAGAAAGATTTCCGAGTGTGCGACGCACAATGTTGCCATGCCTCCACGGCGCAGTACTGCAGAGTCACGGCATAAGAGAAGGTGGAGCCATGTGCATTGCAGTTAGCTGCTGTCGTCTTGAGTTCCAGTTCCGAGCCGTTCTGTGCTTCAGGCCCGAACATGCAGCGTTTCGATCGGAGGGGTGGGGTCGGTGACCACACCCACACACGGTAGCACGCGCCTGGCCGGATGTGGCAGGTTGAAGTAGACGTCAACGACGTAACGAGTAAGGCCAGGAAGACTCACTTCGTGCAGTGCGGAATTAGTTCGTCGCAGCCCGTCGTGCTGGCTAAGTGCAAAAGCTCGCGGAGCTAACGCGCAGCCTGAGTACATCCCTCTGCTTGTTACATGGTTGGCCGTACGAGTAGAATTAACACATGAAGGCAGCGGCTCCACCTCACTCCGCTTGCTGAGGCGACGCGTGTGCAGTCGCGTGCTCCCGTCCAACGAAACAGTGATTTCTTCCGCCCTTTCGCCGCCTGCATTTGCCTCTCCCGTTTGTGTTCCATTCTTGTGTGCGCGGCGGGGCATTGGGGACAGTGCCACATGCGCTCCGCGCTCTTGCGAGAGAGTTTGCCGCGCTCAATGTGTGGCTTGCTGGCATGCACTATCATGCACTGGTGTGCCCGCATGAGGCTACAGGCTCGTCGAAGCTGCAACGGCCGCCCACGGCTCGGAAACCGATTAGCAGTTGATGCCACTCCTGTGCGCGACGCGCAGCGCCGGGCCCGCACTGGTGTTGTGCTCAATGCCACGAAGCGCAGTTGTCGACAAACCTATCCAGTGCGTGTAATATTTGGCATCGTGCGAGGGTGCTGCGTGAAGGCGTCTCCAGCTGCTCGGCTGCTGGTCGTAGATGCACACCGACAAGGACATGATGTCCACGTGTTGCAGAAGAAGCGATGGTGAAGTAAGTTTTGAAGTTTTGTGTGTTTTGCAACTTTTTCCACAACAATGTTTCTGACGAGCAGCACAAGGTTCTGTATTCGCAGGCATCTCTAATGGGATTACAGATGCACATCTGAAATCGTAAGTGGTTGCTGCCAGCCCTTGCGCCGCCGCGTCGATGTGCTGCCATTCCAGCCATGGCAAGCGCGTGACTGCAGTGCCCGCACAGGCATCAACACCAGGTTGGCCCCCTTTTTCGCTTTGCCTGGCTAACCAAAGTGGCATCAACAACAAATGCGATGCACCCCTCGTATCTGCCCATACAAACGCCACATGTTCTGCAAACATGAGGCTGAATGCTTCAAGGCGGAGGGCTAGCGAAGGCTGGCAACAAGGACGCGGGTGAAGCCCGAGGGTTCGCCATCGGCTGCGACAGCGATTCACGAGAATGGCTGACCCGTCGAGTGCAACCGCGCGCTGGGCGCAGGGGCATGGTGCAGACCCCAGCGAAACCTCTGAAGCGAGAGCCGACCATTGGGCTTTTTAGTGGGCCGCCGGAGCGGATGTCCGACATGATCGTCCTGATCGTGACTACGAACACCGACAGGCTTAGAACACAGCGCCACAACACAAAGGAGGTCGCCACACCGAACGTTTGAGAACTCAACGCCGATTCGATGGCTGCACATGGTTCACATCGGCGGCATTACGACGTAAGGGCCCGGCACAGATAGCCTGTGATTTGAACGTTCTGAACATAAGGCAGTTATTGCTGATCTGCAACTGACTACTGGAGCTGTGACGCGTTTAGGCCAGTGTCCGCCACAGACATATTGGGCATGTATCGAAAAAACCGCAAATAAGAGTTACTGAATTAGTAGTGGTCGTGTAACCGGCACCCTGAATCTCGGAGCGACCTATGTAACAAGAAGACTAGGAATAAGCGAATAGCAGCAATATTCCGAGTACCAACAGTACAACCGGTGGTCTTCGAGAACAAAAAAGCAGTGGCATCAACACATAGACCCCTGGAGGTCTGTCAGGAAATCTACGCCTCAGTGCAAGCTAGGAGACGAGCCGCAACTAAGCTCGAAAGGACCCCGCCCAAAAGCGAGCCACGCCAATGAGAACATGTACATGTAGACGTGTGTGAACCTGCTTACTCGGGTCAGCAAGCCTGCATCCTGCCCCTCCAGCCACATGCGGTACCCTTGGCAGTATTCAGAACTGAACAGTGATGAACATCGAGCACGGCCGCCACCTACACTAGCGGTGTCTGAACAGCTTTGTAGCTCTGGCTTTCTTGGGATCAACTGTTGGCAGTTCACAGCGACAGATTTGGACGTTGCAGTCAACAACTACGACCATGATCTAATACACATTGGGCTTCTCTGCATTTCTCTCTCTTTCGGGGCATCTTTACCGCACTCTTCATGAGCTTCGCTGTCGCTCTAAATAAAGCACATGCTAATCTGGAGGTAATCTCACGCACATGCATGGTTCTCTGTATGCTTAGCTGAACAAATGCGCAGAAGCACCTTGAGCGGCGCAGCGGATGCTACCCGCCCTCATGGCCCCATTGCTGAAGTCCAGCTGCGCTGCAACACATGCTGACATAGACGAGTCATGAATGGATGAAGCGATTTGCTCTCTGGACATGCACCCATCCCGATCATGCACATGCTGCACATCATGTGGCCGTTGGCTGTTTGTCAGTACGAATGCCTAATGCGCACTCGAGTGCGTGCTTGAGCAATTGGCAACAGCAAAGCCTGCACTGCAAAGATGCATCCAGCCCTTGCCGATGACATGCTCTGTGAAGCCTGGCATAGCAAGCCGTTAGACGTGTTGGGTCGATCGTGTGCAAAGTTGACTTGCAATGGGCCAGGGCTGTGAGCCAAGGCCAGGCCTGTGACACCAGGAGCTCTGGCAGCTACAATACGTATCGCCGTATCCCGTTTTCGGAATCTTCGACTCTTCCGTTGCGGCGGCTGTGGCCTTGGCCTTCCGGAGTCGGGTGCGGCATCCGGCAGGAATTCGCTTGATGTTGGGTCATTGGGGCCTAGGCTGGGGGAAGTTCCTCTCCATTCCTCTTGGCCCTCCATGTGTGCCGAAAAATCCCAACAAGCGGCATCCTGGATGCCGCGCAGATGCACTGCAGCAGCCTGCATCTAGCGATTTCGCGGTTCTGCTGCTAGTCGCCTCTTGTTCTGCTCGTCGTGATGGCGATGAAGGCTACTGATGAGTGTGATCCATCGCGGATTGCTCTGACTTGTATAAGTGCCACCCACCCATGGTTCCTTGTTCATCTGATTATGCCTTTCATTTTCGGAAGCGGGGAAACCCGGCGTTGCCAGGGAGCTACTTGGCCACGTCCTTTTGCAAAAAAACTGTCTTTTTGCAAGTGTCTGTAGAATGGTCGATCTAAGTGAAGACCTCGTTGCAGCACAGACTTTCTAGATTACTTTACCGTGCGCAGCTGACGATCCCATACCACTCCGACTCCTACATGAGTGACGGCTTTTCTTCATTATATGGGTCCTAGCTGCTATTCATTGCCCGGCTATTGTAATGTCCGGACCCCAATCTCGTTTACCCATCACAGTTTTGCAAGCTAATCTCGCGCAATATAGATGAGTACTGAGAAGAAGCGCATGCTGAAACGCTTCTAGTCCTGGGGTGGAATCCAGGAAGCCAAGCAACCTGAAGTTGCGGAGCTCGGCTTCTAGATATCGGATGTGAAGTCTAGCACCTGGCTTGAGGAATTGTGGCCAGGGTTTAGACCGTAAGTTTCTTTTAGAAACGTTGCTTCCTTACATGAAAATAAGGCTTTCAAAGAAATTGTCACCTCTGGATCACGGTTAGATCGCGTTTGGATCTCTTTTGGGGCCGGGTGTCACCCTGAAGTTGTCGGTCACCCGAATGATACGAACAAGACCCCTCCGCGGCTCCCACTTTAATCCTTTCTTGCGTGAAAAAATGCGGTTGCTCCCATGTCAATGCACTGCAGTGCCCGTTTCTGGTAACGCTCGCCTCCTGGCGAAGCTCCCGCAGAGCTGAGCGAAACCTACATGGAATCCCGGGCGCCATACAAGCAGCCACTGGGTTGCCCTTGCTATCAACGGATGCTTACAGCGGTGCTGGCATAGGTGGAACAGTGATTGCAATCGGTGCAGGCCACAAATGCTCCCCCAGAACCGACGCTCTTCAGGTCGAGGTAGTGATTCTCGATGTCCTCTCGGTGTGCTGTTTCGTGGCTACTAGTCAGCTTGGTCCCTATACTGATCACTCTCATTCAACATCGCGGGCCTCATAGCCACCGTCGAGAGTGTAGAGAACTCTTAGGCCGGTGGTATCGACATTACATGTCATAGCTTTGGTAGCATCCGCCTGAGACCAAGCTCGACTCCAGATTGCAAATCGGCTCACCTGGCAGCGACGGATGTAGCCAGATCTTTCAATCGGAAAGCTCTCGCCGGCCTTTATTTCACCAGCTCACTCCCACCCTCCTTTGGACCTCGAACATCACCCTCAGCCCACCTGATTGTCAAAGTTACGCTGAAGGTGACCGCCCCCGATGGTTATTGTCCCGTCCATCGAGGGGTTATGATTACCAACATAGTATGGGCAGGAGTTGATCTTGACGCCGTCTATGAAATAGTAGGCTTGCTGTGTGCTCTTGGAGAGGACAAAGACGACGTGGTGCCACTTGTGGTCGAACAAGTTTGGCCCAACCGCCGAGCTGCCGCCGTGCTGCTGGAAGATAGAACCAATGAAATGATTTCCATCCGGCCTCACGAAAAGGCCCACCGAACGCCGGCGATGGGAAGTTGTGTACGTGTTATCGGCGAACTCGTAAGTGCCCATAATGTTCGTCTGAATTGAAGGTGTTTCGTGGAACTTCATGAGCACTTCCCATGTCATGTCGCCTTTTGTGAGCTCATTCCACAAGTTCGTGACCTGGGGGCAATCGAGGACTCAACACGGAGTGACTCAGTATGAATCATCGGGACAGATCACACTCTCATCGCCCCTCTTCAGGTCCCGATGCTTATTAGCCACAGCCGGAGCTGCACCAAGGTGCTGAACACAGCTCGCGCGCCGAAACACGGACTTTCGAACGGCCGCACAACGAGAGTGTACGAACAGCCTTTGAGGCCTCTCGCATGTACACCCTTTCCAGCGGGCCTGGCCTGGCCGTGCTGGCGCGTGCTGAAGGTGAGGTAGTTCTTGTTGTTGCTCTTATAGTTCTGGGAAGGCTTGTCTTCCTGGTGACAGCACAGCTGCGTAGTGGGAAAAGACTCAGGTGTCATGTCATGTCTGGGCCCCAGACGCCGACCACGGCTGTGGAGCCAGCGTTCGCGTTGGCGACGTCGGTGGTCGAGAAGTCCTGAAGGGCCTTCATCGCCTTGAGGCGCGTGTCGACGGAAACAAAGGGCATGGCAGACAAGATGAGGCGGTAGTGATCCACGATGTTCACCAAAGTGATCAGCTTCTCCGGGGAGGTGAAGGGCCCAAAACTGACCTGCAAAGGAGCAGGGTCCAGGGTCGGCTGCGTGGAGAGGCCCTTAATTTTCGGGCCTTGAGTCCAATCTGTAGCTTGTTGTTGGACAGGATTCCCCGGATGGTGAAGGAGACGAGGCCCGGGTTGCTGAAGCTGAAGAGCTGGAAGTCGTTCTGCACCTCCTGCGGGCTGGGGGGTGTATAGCTTCATCGGACCTTTCACGCTACCAAAACAGCGACTCAAAGCCCAGCTGCCCTGACCCCGGCCTGCTGCATTAACAGAAGCTGTTCTCGCGCATCTTTGCCCCGCAGCTCTTTCGTGAAGCTCTTGTTCATAAACCGATCGTAGAGCATGGAGGACAGCGAAACCTTCAAGAGGATGAATGCTTCTGCGGGCTTCTTGGGTTTATAGGGTTTAGTTTTTGCACCGTGCTCTGTGGGCTGTTGCTCTGCGGCCTCCTCTTCGCTCCAGCGCAGATCT